TATAGACTCTTCAAGATGAGTCACCTCTGTTCCTTCCTATTATGACGCTAACCTACACATTATTTATTTGCAAAAAGAATCTGCTAAAGCGCTTATTTATGGACGATAACTGTAATTTTCTGATATTTTCTAGACTTCTTCTGTGCACTTTTTAGCAACGTCATCGCCGAATGTCAGTTTTGTCCAGACGAGGCGCTCAATGACAAAACATCCCCTGCTTCACCTCTATCAGCCAGTTAGGGAACAGCAACAGCCGACAGCAGGGAGGACAATCTTCTGCTGTGGTGCTGTGTGTTATCAAGATAATGGTGTCCTTTGTCTATTCAAGGATTCAATTACCGGCAGATTCATCACCTCTAAAGGTCAGCAGAGGCTGAAACTGCACCAAGGTTCTGATCACACTGGAAGCACACTGGATTTCCTCTGTTCCTTTAACATGTTTGAAAGTTGCTTTCATGCATTAGAATGAAAATTCACTACGAGGGGAAAAAGTGTCAGACTGTTAGTGACTGAAATCAGACACTTCTATGCCAAACATGAATGTCCTCCCAGAGGGGCCACTTGATTTTGGTTAAAACAGCTGTGCAGTGGTGTATAGTGAATTTTCTCGAAGCTCAACCATTTGAAGACTGAGAAGATTTAAAGTTAAGAGAACAGCGTTTTTCATAGACTATGCAGGTGTAAGCCTGCAGCCAGTTAGTGACTGTTAGGCTTCATCTTTGATAATCCAAGTCACTAAACTGCACATCGACACTTTTTGATGGAATTTTATGACACATAATATAACTTGCTGTGTGGTCCAGACCATCCAGTAAGTTTCAGGTTTATTTTGTAATTTTTTTTTTATTATCATTTATATTATCTGTTTCTTGGGACTATCCATACTTTCTGCCACGTATCTGGATCTGCGGCTCCCTGCCCACTCCCCCAGTCGTGCTGTGCAACACTGCAAGTTTTGGTACTGATCCAATTACAAGTAATTAAAAAAAATATTTATTTAACACAAATCAGTGGACTGAACTTAGAGGATAGAAACTAATTATCGATCCTATTGAACTAGTATCAGTTCAATACCAGCAATAGTATCGATACTATTGATATTTGGATTGATAGTCCACCTCTATCCCTCTTCTCTTCTGAGGGTCACCAAGACTTTCCAAATCCAGCCGAGAGATGTTATCTCTTAAGCTTGTTGTGAATCTGCTCCATGGTCTTACGCTGCTGTGACAAAACCTCACCTAGGAGCTGCACAGTAGGCATCCTGGTCAGATGTTGAAGCACCTCAGCTGGCTCCTTTAGATTAGGAGCTCTACTCTGACCTCTTTCCAAATGACCAAGCTTCTCTTTATCAGCATGCTTGGATTAATGGTAGCTGACAACTTAGACCTCAATTCCTCCAAATATGATTATTACTTGTACAAAAACAGTACAAAAATGTGTCAGCACTAATACTAATATTGAGGGTCCAAATGTCTAAAAAGAAAACATTAGCACATATATATCATGTGTAGAAGCTAATAGCTGAGTTTAAACATTTCTGACTTGTGGAAATAAAGTTTTTTCATCACTTACCAAAGAGTTGAAAGTGATTATAGACACATAAAGTGTAAATATGAAGACGCTGCCAGCAGTTGATTAGCCTAGCACAATAACCAGACAGAGCTGGAAGCAGCTAGCCTGGCTAACGGACCTCCTAGCTTCTGTTTAGAGTAATTTAAAGAGTAGGTGCGAGGAAGTAGCAGCGTTTGGTTACCTTTTGGGGCCTTTCTACACATACTGTTGGAATTTATGTTTATATGTACGGCTAATATCTCATAAGTAGCGTCACTTATTTGTGTGTTGTCTTTGACGGCCCACAGTGTAACATAGTAAGACCCCCTTTACAAGAACAAGGTCATAAATCTGCTCTTATGGAACGCACCCTAGCTCCGTCTTTATGCAGGTCTGACCGGAGGATAAGAGGTGGTTGTCATGGTAACGGTAGTGTTGCTAGCAGAAGGCTGAAGTGCACAGAAAGCTGCAGAAGAAGAAACGTAAGTACTGGATCTCAGTCACACAAGGAGAACTTTTGACCTTTCACCTTAGTGTCCTGTTTATCACACATAATAAAAAGCATTCACTGTCTGGGTGTGGGGCTCTTTGTTCGTTTGGGTCTCCTGAGCGAGCAGAGAGACACTGCAGCCATTTTTTTTAAAAACTTGAATCCTTAATTGCTAAATAAATTTAAGAAAATGCACTTTGAGCATATTTGTCTTCTCTCTCTCTCAAAATGAACCCAACACAGTTGTTTTGATAACTAGCCTTTTCTGTCCATTTTGGCCTTTTGTCCACATTTTATGTCACTGAAAACAGAGTTTTCTGAAACTTGGTGTTTGCCTTTTATTAACTCTTACATCAGACTGTGTGCTGTGTTGCTTGCATGACAAAATATTATTGCTTTATCTTTTTATGCACGTTTAGATGCTAACACATGCAAAGAACTCACGCTCCTGTGTTTTTAGAAAGACAGAGATTTCTACATTCCACATTCAGTTAAAACATTTCTGTTATGCCCATCTTTGTTCACCTAATAAAGTTGTTCCATTAAAGATTCTGATTGGCCAGTATTTGTTATTGTTTTCAGCATTTTCATGTAGATGTACAATATTTTCAAATCAATGCTTGTATGCACAGATTTTTTTAAATGAAGGCAGAAAATCTCTATTTTAAAAAACAATACTTAAGCAAGTGTTGAAGTAGCCAGCGTGTAGATTAAGATGAGCTCAAGTTCTGAGTTAAGGCCATTACGCCTCGAGTGCGTTGCAAAGAAGCAAGTTTGGATCAGAAAACAGAATTTTTCTGATCCAAACTTGTCGTGTTACACAGATACACACCAAAAGCATTTTTGCAGAAAATGAATTTTTTTAAAAACTTGAAGATGACATCATCAAGCCGTTGCATGTTTTAAACTACGAGCACGCTTGTTGTTTATTTGGATCTGAAAAATTTAGCTCGGTTTAAAAAAAAAGCCCCAAATTTGTCATGCAAACTCGGTCAGTGCGAATGGCTGCATTAAAAATAGATGAGCCCGAAAAATATTTTCAAGGCACGAAACATTAGCTTGAATTTTACATGTCCGGTGTGTAAAGGGCTTCACTCCTCGCTATTATGACCACTGTTTTCAAAGTGTTTATTTGTCAGCACATCTAATTCTGAATTTATAAATGAATCCCAACAGCCTCTGCTGACTTGAAGCATCTTTGACTTTTTGATACTGCAGTGTTTTTACAGGATCACTTCAAAACATCTGGTTTCAGGATATGAGATGAAGCGACTAAAATAAATTTCAGCCTGAGTACATGGGGGCTCTACACGAAGATGCCAGCATCTCGAAGCATTTAAGACCTGAACTGAAATAAAAACCGAGTAGAGGCCAATATTACTCATGAAAATAATCTTAACTAAGATTCTTTGCACATTTTCCCATTAATTCAGAACGACAGGAGAATTTATTAAGACCCTCCCCATACAATGTGAAAACTGCTCTAAAACTCATTCTTCTCTATGGCTCGCACACACCACAGCACAAGCGCACCTATGTGAAAAGGCCTTTACACTTCCAAAGATATGCACTCTTTCAGTACAATCGTTTTCTGGTTGGTAATAAACTGCAGCTGAAGTAAATTAGGTGCAAACTAATTCCCCCTTATGGAAAATGACTCGTCATATCTTTAAACTGATCTGACACAACCGATAAACATCAACCACATCCATAACTTAATGTGGTCTAAATCACTAATATCTTTCAACCAGGGCAACATCAATGTTTCAGCAATTATCAGTGCAAACACTAATAAATTCCAT